TCCTGGACTGATCGCTAAGGACTGGGTGGAGGAAGAATTAGAGAATGGAGCCATGAGCTCAGGTCAACAGAATACCCTTAAATGAAGCAGACAGGACTCCCTGTTCTCCAGGCAATTCTTGCCACTCCCAGCCTTTCTAGCTCTCTAATTCCCATTTTTCATTCTTCATGTAGACACCTTTCTTCTGTTCATACATTCTCAGCCAATGCCATTGATTTCGCTATAGTCGGCTCTCTAGGTCTCTAGATAGCTCTTCTGTTTCTTTAAAGTAATTCTACACATAGTTGTTATATTTGTTGTCATGTATTAGTGCTGATATAATTAATCAAACCCAATTCTGGGAGAGTATAAGTGCTGCTTCTTATATTCATTAAGTTGCAAAATCTTGGTGAAGTTTTGTTCCTTAAAATTCAATGCCTCTTTGCTCCATTTATAAGAAACTTTTCATTCATGTAAGAGTAAATTGCATTAGTGAATTTGTGACTCTTATGAGAATGAATTAATCCTTGAATTTTATAAATAAAATGCTACTTATGAATAAACCAAAGTACCCTCCCTTAGTGCCATGTCGACCTAAGACTCATCATTTTCTAGCATCTCCATAAATCTTGGCGGAGCAGCACTCCTCCGGGCCTGCATTCTCCTGCTTACAGCATAAACATTCCTCACCTGGGTGTATGTGTTAAAATTTCAGATTCCCACATCTCAGAGCTACTGAATGAGATTCCTAGTTTGAGTCTGAGAACCCTCATTGATTACAAGTTTCCTGGCAACTTCTTATGCACACACAAAAAATTAAAAATTAGTAGGACATAACGTGAGTCCCTGTCATTCAAGCATTCTATCCTGAATTAAGTGTCTCTAGTTTAAAAGAACTGCAAGTTTCTACTGGCCCTCAAAATTTGTGCCCAGTTTCTTGTTGTTGTTATTGTTGTTGTTTTCCCTAAAAGGAAATGTGATATTTTTTATTTTCACCTCAGTGCAAAAACTTCTGGAAATACCATATACCAGGGACCAGCAGTTAGCGTAATGGCTATGTCGCTGGACTCCCATCTAGTCGACTGCGGCTTGCATCCCAGACCTGGTGGCTTAAAACTTACACCGGGTGCATGTGCGTGTGTGCCCAAGATCCTGGAGAGGAGAATGGAGGAGGAGGGATTGAGGTGTGGTCAACCCCCTGGGGGGTGATTTCTCACTTTCTGCCTCTCTGGTTCTCTCTGTCTGTCTGGTGAGTGCACGTGCCCTATAGCAAAAATCTCTCCGAAAAAAAAAAGAAATGCTATATACCACTTCTAGTAAAAGAATCGTTGTTTATAAGGGCACATCAAAAAGTATTCTGATTTGAGGGTAAGAGACAAGGGTTTGAATTCTGGCCCTGTTGGTTACTTATTTTATTAGCTTGCTCCACAATTTTGTCAAACAATTTAGTTTCTGTTTCAGGGACGTTTTATCATCAGGAAATGGAATTGAATATTCCCACTTTCCAGGATATTTGTAAAACTAAAATGAGAGGTAGGTACAACTGTGTCATGGCTAAAATCAGTGCCTTAGAAAGTGGGTTGGACAGAATTCTAGCTCTATCATTTTTCAGCGAGGGAAGTTCCCGACTGTCCCTGAGTCTCAGTTTCCTCACTTGTAAAAGCAACTGAATCACTGAAAGTCTTGTGTGTGTGTGTGTGTGTGTGTGTGTGGCGGCGGCGGTGTGGAGGGAGGAGGGTTGAGTGAATTAATATGTGTGAAGTACTTAGAGCAGGGCCTGAAACGTAGTATTGGTTAAATGAAAAACAAGATTTCACGCATGACAGTGTTTTCTAAAGGACTAACCAAATGCAAGGAATTAAGGAAAGAAACATGGTAGTAATAATCCTCATCAAAAGCATTCAGAAAGCCACATAGCTCTTAAAATGTCTCTGAAGTCACAACAGAGTTTCAAATCCATTTCCTGAGTCATCAATTATCCCTTCTGCTGTCATAATTAATTCCTATTGTTATACTTAATAATGGCCAACATCATCATCTTGGGGGTTATTGTTTTATTCTATTAAGCTATTTCATTACACTCAAACAGGCTGAGGGAATATATATAATTGACTTGTGAAAATTATTCAATTTGCCAGAGAAATTCATCCAACATCTAAGAGAATTGGGTCAATGAAAAGCCACACTAACTAAATTATGAGGCCCTTCTTTTTGCTTTCCTACTCTCAAAGGGACTTTTTTTTAAATTAATTGAATAGACAAGAAAAATATAACTGAATTTTATTTGGAATTTTGAGGATGTCTAATTATTGGAGAAGTCCTCATCTTTTTTTTTTTTTAAACAATCATTAACATCCAGGCCCTAGTGTCACAGGTGAACTATGAGAGGCTGTATGACAGAGGGCCCTTGAAAGGAGAAAACACCTTGGTGGGCAGTTTCTACTCATATGGGCTGAATACTGACTGGTGAATAACAGCCTTAAACTAAAATGGAGCTTTTCTTAAACTTTTTTCTTGATTCATGATAGAACACATGCACATGTATGAGGAAGAGTGAGAAAGCCTTCTCCACAGGGTCTAGTCACACCTTTGATCCCCTTCCTCCAGTTCTCTACCCATCAAATCCTGGACACTCATGTGTGTGCCCAGAACATTTCACAGCAATTGGGGTGGGCCCCCGAATTGCAGTTGCCACATGGGATCAAGATTCTCTTGAGTAGCACAGTGCCACAGAGCAGGTCTTCACATAATCTTTAGTTGGCATGGTTGATCCTCTTCATCCCTAACTCCCTCATCATTAGCAAGAATGGGAGCTCATGAGAAAAATTTATTTTTTAGCAATAGTCTTGTTTTGTGTTACAGAATGGGCAGTTAGAGCCTCTCTTCTTTTTTTTTCTTTGTTGGGACATTGAAATACAACAATGCTTAATATTTGTTCTTGAAAAAAGCTACATTTCTGGCACATAGCTGTACTAGAGAAATGTGAGTCAAAAGTTTTATTAATTTATTAAGAATCATATTAATAATATTATCCATTATAATCTCCATGACAAAGCTGTGGAGTAAATATTATTATTCCCTACTTGACAGATTTTTTTTTTATTTCACTGTATATCTAAAACAACAGGGGAAGTGGGAAAAATATTTAATCTGAACAGTAGTATGTATTGATACTGTTTGGATCCATTATCACAAATGAACATTCCTTATCTCTGCATTTTTTACTTTTAAATAGAGATCTGAATATTAAATGTGCCCACAAAGATGATATAGCTAGTACCATTCTATACATGGCGTGGTTGTCCAGCCTTAGGTTCTCTTTGTCTTTGCAAGACACCATGACAGAAGTTGTCCTTTATTTCCTTTCTTGACAAAGAGCCAAAACCACCTTGGGAGGCGATTTTGTTGAGGCAAGACAGCTTTGAGCAGCTTCTCCCAATTAATCAGTAGCTCCAAAATAATTACTTGCTTCTCTCAGTCCCTGAGTCCCACATTGCCCTTTCCCAGGTTACAGGCCAAAGGCAGGGATGTTAGGGTTGTTGCAGAAAGGAATCTCAGAGAGCCAGAAGCCAGGGGAGCCAGGAATTGAGGGCACTTCACAGGAATCTTCAGTTTTTACCCAGATGTCCTGGTTCAGTGAGGCATGTGAGTATTTTCCCAATGAGACATGGTTCTAACAGACCTCCATCAGAGGTGTTTATGATTTTTCTTTGTTTTTAGTGTCATGTTTATATCTTTTATGACATCACAGGATAAACAGAATTGTGATTTATGCTTTACTGTGAACAAAGCTGAGTTTTTCCCTTTTTCTTTTCTTTTTCTCTCCCCGCCCCCTTGGGAAAATGAAATACAACAATGCTTAACATATGCTCTTGGTGGCCTGCTCAGATCTTTTTACTAGGGCACCCATGCCCTCACTTGCTACATAATTGGCTGCTAAGAGCTGTCAGCTGCATCCTCTCCTGCTCCAGAGGACTGCCCGGGGCCTACTGGATGGCACAGCTCAGAGATGCCTGGGAGGTTCTGCCCCATCCCTGCTGGGAGGGCCTATAGCCAACGGCTGACTGACTGACACATGAGTATGAATCTCAGGCCTCTTTTTTCAGAACAGAACAGCCATTCCCCTTCTGGGCTTCTCATGGGCTCAAGTTGAGGAAGACTTGAGCCCATACCTCTCCTCTGCTGTTACTGCCCTCTGTGGCATCCCTCTCTCTGCCATAGGTTTTATCTGTCCCTTGATAAATCTGTTACTCAAAAATCAGCATCTCAGGTTCTGCTTCTGGAGAACCTGACTTCAGACACCTTGGGATTTTGTGTTTTGAGTGGTCCCTGATGTAAAATGAGAGGGAGGAAGGAGTTCATTATGATTGGTGAGAGATGGATTCAGAAGCACATTCCTGTGATTACTGTCTGATTTTGAGACACTTTTTAAGGCTTTTGACCATATTACTTTTTCAGATGATAAATTAACAGCTTCTGGCCCTATTCAAGAATGGGATCTAGCCACAGAATAAAGTCCAGTGGGCTGATGCTTGGAGAAAAAGACATGAAAAGAACCCTCAGCCTGCATACGATGAGCAGATTCGCTCCATTCCCATCGCCTACTATGTCAGTGACTATGATTCAAGACAGGTATTATGCAACAGGGATATGAAAGGGAAGGAGATGTTGTGATTTCTCCTGACAAAAAGAAGAAAATTGGGTATCATATCACTTTTCATACTGAATCCTAACCATCCAAACAAAAGTGTTTCTGACCAGGACTTTTGTATTGGAAGCAGGGAGAATATTTTTGTAAACTATGCTCCAGATAAGAGACTGATAACCAGAATACACAGGGAACTCAAGCAGCTTACCCGGAAAAAAAGTATTAACCCAATTAAAAGATGGGAAAAGGAGCTGAATAAACGACTCTCTAAGGAAGACATACACAGCCAAAATTCATATGGAAAAAGGTTCAACATCCCTCATCATAAGAGAGATGCAGATACAAACCACAATGAAATACCACCTAATTCTGATCAGAATGGCATAGATTAAAAAAGAAAAAGTGGTAAGTGATGGTGGGGATGTGGTAAAAGGGGAACTCTCCTACACAGGTGTTGGGAATGTAAATTGATCCAGCCATTGTGGAGAACAATATGGATATTCCACAAAGATCCAAAAATAGATCTACCATATGATTCAGCAATTCCACTCCTGGGTATCTACCCAAAGGACAGGAAAATGTTTAGTTGGAAAAACACTTGCACATCTACGTTTATTGCGGCATTATTCACAATTGCTAAAATATGCATCCAACCCAAATGTCCACAAACAGGTGAATAGATTGAAAATGTATGGTATACATACTCCATGGAATACTATTCAGCCATAAAAAACAACAAAATCCTGGCATTTGATAGAAAGTGGATGAATATGGACAATTTATTGCTGAGTGAAGTGAGTCAGGCTATGAAAGAGAGACATTGTATATCCCTACTTAACATATAATAAGTGTACACACTCTATGGTAAAGAATGAAAGACTGGGGACCAGCAGTTGACATAATGGCTATGTCGCTGGACTCCCATGTAGTTGACCGCGGTTCGCGTCCCGGACCTGGTGGCTTAAACTCACGCCGGGCACATGTGCATGTGTGCCCAAGATCCTGAGAGGAGAATGGAGGAGAAGGGATTGCGCCATGGCCATCCCCCCCTGAGGGGTGATTTCTCACTTTCTGTCTCTGTCTCTCTCTGTCTTTCTGGCGAGCGCACGTGCCCTATAGCAAAAACCTCTCCAAAAAAAAAAAGGAAGAATGAAAGACTAGAGGGCATAAAAGCATTGAAAATAGTTATGGACACTGGAGACAGTGTGGAAGGAGAGTGGGAGAGGGGGAGAGTGCAGGGAAGGTAACTAGGGAGAAAAAAGTAGGTAAGACATTTGTGGGACATAGAAATGTTTTATTACCTCTTGATGATGATGTGTATAGTATTTTCAACTGGGATAAGTCTGAGGTGTATATCATGTTGGATAAATTCTCTGTACAAGCTAAATGATATATAGTGATTGAATGTATACAAAATAATAATAATTACGATTAAAAATTAAAATTTTTTTTTCCTTTAGTGTGAGCCCTTCAGAACAGTTTTCACTACTTGGTAAGAACTGTTGTGCTTTGGTTCTTGCTCTGCTACATGCCAGCTATGTGACCTTGGAGAAGTCACTAAACTGTTGACAGTCTCAGCTTCTTCATCTGTAAAATGGGTGGATGGAGGAGATAGTCCTTTGGGAATGTAAACACAGCACTGGGGACTGTGGTTGGCAAATTGTATCCCACCTCATTAATTCTAGAGTAGAGGAGAAATCTTTTTATTTTTAAGAATTATTATTTAACTTTGTTTACTTGTCAATTTATTTTATTTGGCCAGAGAAGGACAGAGTGAGAGAGAGAGAGAAAGTGAGAAAACAAGCCACCAGGTCTAGGACTTGAACTATGGTCAGCCATGTGGGAGTCCAGTGCCCTTAACCACTACCTGCAGACTCTGAGGAGATATCTTTTAAATGAATCAACCGAAAATTATGTGACGTCAGCTACACAAATTGTATAACATTAGTCATAGTCCTCTTTGTTCTGTGACAGTGTAAAAATTACAGATATCCCAAGTTAGAAGAAAAGACCCTACTTCACTGCATGCAAGTAACCTGAGTCTCTCCACCACAATTACATTTCGTCACACTACATCCATGACTGAAGATCTCAGAATAGCAAGGATAGAGGAGTCATATGATCTCTCTTGGAAATACTGGTGAGTTACTACTGTCTTTTCACTATAATACCATGGATTCTTCAGGAGACATAATCTAATGTGTCGCCCCTTGGCTGAGCCCACCTCTTTTTGCTAGAAGAACAATATTCATTTTAGGTGAGAAAGAGATGCGAAGACAGATTAATGGTTGCTGTGACTTACCACATGTGCATGTAGTCAAGTAGAAGTTCCAGGGACTATGGTCTCACAGAATTCGTGCCATGAATCATCTTTTCAGTTATCTACAAATACTCCAGTCTTCAATACAGAGCAGACTGGTCGACAATCCGTATTTTAAAACTTTTACCAAGATTGTCTGCTTTTAATTTTGTGTGTGTGTGTGTGTATCGGAAGCAGGTTTTAAAATTTATTTTTCTCCTTCAGTGTGAACCCTTTAGAACGATTTTCATTACTTGTTAGGAATCATCAAGGTTTCAGGAAAGACTTAACCATCTGAATAAGATTAGCAATTTCAACATAGACAAAAGCAAGTCACTAAATCCCATGAGCAGAGGAAACTATTGTACCTGAATTCAAATCAAGGTTCTCTACTAGGTTATATTTATTTCAGGGCATCTATAATGTGGGCGTAGGTGAACTTTTGGAAGCAAAAATTCATCCACCAAGTCCTCTTGAAGTTCATTCCACGATTCCTTAAGCAACGAAGTATTCATTTATCTATCCATCTAATCAGCAAGCACTTATAGATCACCTCTATATCCCACAGCTAAGAAAAGAAGGTATAGTGTTGAAAAGATAGTGAGTCCTCTAAGAACTCAAAGTATCCCAGAGAAAGCATCTATAAGCAAATAAATAGAATATAATGTCATAAGTACCATAATAAGGATATGCGCAAAGGCCTATGGAAACAGTAATTCTGCCAGGAAAAATCAGGGAAAGCTTCATAAAGGAAGTGACATTCAAAGAGCTCATAAAGGATTTATGCATAGGAGTTTTCTAGATAGAGGAAAAGGAGAGTGTATTCCCAACAAAGAAGAACAAGAACCATGGCCAATGACCTAAAGTGCATAAACATTGTTGAGAGGAGACAGAACAGTATGACTTTATGGTGCGGGAGGATATGAAGAATAGCCTTGTATGCCACATCAACAACTTTGAACTTGATTCTTGAACCATTAATAGCCAAAAGTGATGGGGTGGGGTGGGGGTGGGGTGTTCTTTTCTTTCACAATTTGGAATAAATAAGAGCAAATCTGAGTTTTAGTAAGAAGACTCTGTCAGCAGCATACAGATAAGTTTTGTTATCAAAAAATACTGAAAAATAAGAATGAGGTAGGAGGTTATTTCCGTAGTCTGAGGTAAGAGTTAATGAGGATGGGTATAGGACCATGGTCATGGAGGTGGCCACTGTATGATCCCACATGACTCCTTTATCTTGTCCTGAGGCTCATCACTCACTTCACCTTAGTCCCTGTCGTGTTGAAAAATCTTGATCTAAGCTATAAGGTAACGTAAGTGAAAGAGGTTTAACAAGGTCAAGGCTCAGCCTCAGTTGTGCAAGAGGAAGGGTGCTGCTATGCAAGGCTGGGGCCACATAGGAGGAACAGGTTTGGTTTCCAGCCTAACCTGAACAGATCAGGTGTGGTGGTGTATAACTGTAGTACTAGGTGACTGGGAGGCTGGGACAAGACAAATTGCAGCATGGTCAGACCCTGTCAAAAATCTGTCTCTCTCCTCCTCCCTCCCTCCTTTCTCATGAAAGAGAGAAGGGAAATGAGGAAGAAAAGAAGAAAGGAAGAATGAAAAAAATGAAGGAAGATAAGAAAAAAGAAAGGGAGAAAGGAAGGAAGGAAGAGAAGGAGGAGAAAAAGGATCAAATGAAAGTTATCAACTCACGCATAACAGTTCAGATCATAAAAGTGGAAAGGACGTAAAGAAGAGGTAATTTAAAATCTCTAAGGAACACAGTCATTTAAAGGTGGGCAAAGGAGGATCCAGAAGTCTCCTGAATACCTCTGGTATATTAACAAGGGCATTTCCTTGATGCAGAATGAGACAGAGACTCTCTAGATTGGTTGCAAATTCAGTTTGAAACAGAAGTTCAAGACAGGGATTCTTCTTCTTTTTTTTTTTTGGAGAGGTTTTTGCTATAGGGCGCGTGCGCTCACCAGAAAGACGGAGAGAGACATAGAGACAGAAAGCAAGAAATCACCCGCAGGCCACGCCGCAATCCCTTCTCCTCCATTCTCCTCTCGGGATCTTGGGCAAGCATGCACAGGTGCCCGGCGTGAGTTTAAGCCACGGGGTCTGGGACTCAAACCACGGTTGGCTACATGGGAGTTTAGCGACATAGCCATTACGTTAACTGCTGGTCCCAAAACAGGGATTCTATGGCAGAAATAGCCACATATTTCTCACTACCCATTCTCCTTCTTCCATAGTAATTTTATTTTATTCTGAACTCATGGTCTCACAGAAAAAGCCCAAAAGACTCCATTGCAGATAGTGTGGCCATGTAACTAAGTTCTGTCCAATAGAATGAGAATGGAGGTGATATGAGAACCTCTAAGCTGTTGCTCTAAAGAAAAGGGGAAAACTCACCCTTTCCCGTCTTCCTTCACCCTGCTAGGACAGTGAACTCGGTAGCAAGCCATTTGAGAGCACACAGATGAGGGTAATAAGGAGGATGATGGGGCAAAAAGGTAGTGGAGCCAAGACCCTGCAGCCATCATTGAGCATGGCCTCGTCCCAGCTCATACTTGAACCTTGTTCAGCCACTAACATGGAGCCAAACCAGTATCTAAACCAACACAATGCCAAAGCCACATAGATTTCTTCAGCACTATCCTAAAGGCTTTGTAAGTCTGAAAGTGTTTATGGCTTGGTTCTATCCCATGTGCACACACTGCTCAAGAGAAGCCTGTGCCAGTCAGGGCTTTACCCACCAGCCTGGTCAGCATGAAACAATTGGGGATGGGCACAAGTACCCAAACTCTGATGGTTGGAGGACCAGAGGAAGAGGACCCTGTGGAGAGTGCTCATCTCTCTCTCTGTCTCTTAGGGGGACCAGCAGTTAGCCCAATGGCTATGTCGCTGGACTCCCATGATTTCTCGCTTTCTGTCTCTCTATCTCTGTCTTTCTGATGAGTACACGTGCCCTACAGCAAAAAAAAAAAAAAAACACCTCTCTCTCTGTCTCCTTGTCTCTATCACTTTCATGTGTGAACACACAGGCTCTACCATGAAAAAAGAAAAGAATTTTAAGAAGTCTTACAGTGTTTAAAAATACCATCCCTGAATAACCAAGGCTTATGTCTAGTGGTGGGACTTCAGGACCCCTCTTATCCTTCCAAATTCTGAGCCGACTGGAAAATAAGACAAAAGCGTACAACACAAAGAGACCAAAACATAACTGTAATTACTGATAAGGCAGATGTTGGAAAAGTGTGGCTTATGCGAGTAGTAAGTGGGCTTCCTAACACTGAATTAAACACAATTATTCAGAATTAAATTAAGTATCCAGCACACATTGAGACAACTAGTTCACCTCAGACCTCCCCTATGGGACTGACCTGGAGTGTTACGCTAGCAACTCTCCTTCCATGTGGAAGAAACATTAGGACTAAGGAAGGAGCATTAACTCCTAATATCTCAGGTCTCACTGGGAGGCATAGATGTGATGTGAAGTCAATTTAGCTAGGAACTAAAACCTGAAATAGGTGGGAAAAAATGATCTTCAACATCTGAAAAATTTGGGCTTCCAAATGGCCAGTAGCGTTGCATCAATCAACAACACAAGTTGTTTAGATTTTAAAGTCCATATAAAACTGATAATCATAGCAACATTACATCAGCTCCCCTGAAGTTTCTCCGTGAGCTCCCTAATTTGGGTTATCTCTCCAGGAGATGGAAGTGGGATGCAGAACCAAATTCTGGTGGAGTTTCTGTTCTCACATTGAAGAAAGGACAGACTTTTCCACCAGGCTGCAATTTTCACCTGGCTTGTCATTATAAAGGAAGGACCAGAATTGATCCTAAGGCTATTTCATATCTAAAATATAAATGACTGTAGTGAGAGTAAGAGGATATGCAATGATTTCTATTCATAGATTAAACCAGTCATCTTAACAAATGAGTGCTCCTCAATGAGGAGTTGTGCACTGTTCCTTAGGGGCAGTCGGAATCGCTGACATTAAGAGGGCTGGAAAATTTGGGGTTAGCACAAATGACTTGGGGGGATACTGACATTTATTGGTGCTACATCATGACACTTTTATACAATAAATATATACATATAACCAAATTAATTGTATTATTAAAGGTAGACCTAACCTGAAAGAAGCTTCTTATATGGAGCCCATGCCACAATATATTAATATAAGAAGGTCGAACAGAAACCAGATCTTATCTTCCATACTGTCTCCTCAGTGTGCATCTTGCCTTAGAGTGTCTCTGAAATGGAGAATTTTGGAAGACCAGGATTATAATTATTTTTAAGCACTATATCATAATACTTATAGATTATACCTAAATAAATGTATTTTTTATTCATTTCTTCAACAGGTATTTATTGGGCAGCTACTATAAACCAGACACTGTTATAGGTCTTAAAAATATAACAGCAGTGGGAAAAACTAAAAAGCTCTGATCTATTTAACTTTTTTTTTTTTTTTTTTTTTGGAGAGGTTTTCACTATAGGGCGCGTGCACTCACCAGACACAGAGAGACCTAGAGACAGAAAGCAAGAAATCACCCCCCAGAGGGGATGGTCATGCCGCAATCCCTTCTCCTCCATTTTCCTCTCGGGATCTTGGGTACACACGCACACACGCCCAGCGTGAGTTTTAAGCCACCAGGTCCGGGACGCGAACTGTGGTCAACTACGTGGGAGTCCAGCGACATAGCCATTACGCTAACTGCTGGTTCCCAAAATTTCTATCTTATACCTAAAGAAACCAAGATTCTCAAACACTTACAAGAAAAGAGAAAACTATTTTCAGAGCAGGGACCTATAAATGCTAGTAACCACAGTCTGCCAGCATTTCGTTATTCCATATTTCACCTCCATCTCTATGAGGGGTAGGATCAAAGAGCCAAGAACAATAATCACTCTGTCTTCAGTTTATAAAACTTGGACTTGTTCATGGTAATCCCCCAAATTATCCTTCCCATGAACACATGGGAAGGTGGATGATTATAAAGCAGTCTTTTAAAAAAAGGATTATTTATTTTAATTTACTTACATTTATTTATTTATTTTTTAATTTGACCAGGGAAAGACAGAGAGGGAGAAAGAGGGAAAGGGAAAGTGGGAAAGCAAGCTGCCAGGTCAGGGACTCAAACCATGGTCAGTCATGTGGGAGTCCAGCATCCCAACTACTGTTCCACCTGCCAGCCCCTTATAAAGCAGTCTTCTAAAAAAGTTTGATCATACCAATCTAACAAATATTTACTGAGCATCTATTGTATGCCAAGCACTGTGTTAGGTACTATGGGGATTCTGAGATAAGTGGTCTATTCTTCCTCCCCTCAGGAAAGTTACTGTATGGTGAAAGAGACAGATGGCACACAGCCCCAGCATAGCATAGAAGATGATAAATGCCATAATGAAATTGTAAAGACCTGTGGGAGCTGAAAGGAGGAGATGGATACTAGCTCCTCCATGAAGTGTTGCCTAATTTCCCCAAAAGGAATTTGAAGTGGAACTTGAAAGATGGATGGAATGTTAATAAAGAGTAAAAGACCTGCTTCAGCTTCTCATCCAAGATGACAGCTCTGAAGGTCAAAGAAAACAAAAACTGTCCTGACCCACAGGACAGTCGAACAGGTTTCCTGAGGGAAGGAGTGAGAGATGGGATGAACAGCACAGTGTTACAATACAGAGACGACAGTGTTACAACTCTTCAGGGTTGTCCATTTATTGTGGGCCAGGGATGGTGGTTATATACATGTTGGTGGGCGGTGATTGGTTAAATGAAGGATTGTAGAGGGTGGGTTATGATTGGTTGCTTTGTGGACCAATCATGAGGTGCTGGATAGTATGGTGTTGAAGGGGAGCCAATTGTGGCCTTTGGCATTGTGCAATTGTTTGCTCACTGAGAAATCGAAACTTAACGGTTTCCTTAAAATGGCAATAGTATAAGACTCATAAAATGGCCTTGGCAGACTTGCTGATATGTAGTTTCCCACAAAAAAAAACCAAAAACCTTAAGATCCAAAGATGTTAAGACAAAATTAAAAGACAAAATTAAAGCAAGATAAGGTTTTTAACCATTAGGCAGTTGTAGTCTTAATGGGCGAATCTCAGAGTCCTACTAACAATAAAATAACACCATGACTACAGTTACCAAGCATGTACTATACACCAGGGGCTAGACTTTTCACATGCACATATTATTTCTTTTAAGCCCCAGGACAATACTTTCAAATAGGTGCCTCTATACTACCCTCATGTTACTAGAGAAGATTGTGATATATGACATGTCTGAAGTCACACAGCTAATCAATACTGGGGCTAAGCTTGAAACCCTGTTTGCTGTCTTTAAAGCCAACTGTGCTGGCACAGCAGTAACACAATGATCTGCAAAGTGTGAAAGCCACAGAGGAAGGTCCTGGATTTGATTCCCAGGGGTTCTCTGTGCACACCAGGTGTGCATGTATGCTTCTGATTCTGGCTGATTAAGGTTGGGGGTAGATTGTGGCATGAAGACCCTGTTGGTGGTGTCTTTGTGTGTGAGTCTCTCTCTTTCTCATAGAAGAAGTAGGTAAAAAAGCTTTAAATAATAAATAAATAAATACAAAAATAAAGTCAGTATTGTGATGTCCCAGTACATGACAATAGATTAACTCTTCTCAAAGCTGCAAAATTCATTCTAGTCAATAGTTCAAAATCAAATAAAAAGTAGCATTTCTTTTTTCTTTTAAAGAGAAATTTTCGCTGTAAGGCACATGTGCTCACCAGAGAAACACAGAGAGAGAGATAGAAAGCGAGAAATCACCCATCATCCCCTTAGGGGGAGGGAATGACCACACTGCAATCCCTTCTCCTCCATTCTCCTCTTGGGATTTTGGGCACACACATACGTACACTCAGCATGAGTTATAAGCTACCAGTCCAACACTCAAACCATTGTCAACTACATGGGAGTCCAGAGATAAAACCATTACACCATCTGCTGGTCCCAAAAATAGCATTTCTTGAAAGGATGTGTTTAACTGGCTTCCTAAGCAAGACCATGTACCTACCCCATATCCTTGGGATCCTGAGCTGATATTACCCTTCCCCCATAAAAATAAATAAATAAATAAAAGGCACTGGTAGCTGGGCCTGATTACCCAGTAATCTATTAGCCATATCCAAGTTATTAGAACTAATCCCTAAGATTTTAAAATCACTACATTCACCCTGGGTCAGGGAATCAATAGATATTCTGGGAAAGACTTCATTTATTCAGTCCTGCTGCTGCTTCTTTTTCCCTTCTCTTTTTTCTTAATCTTCCATGGAGCCTCCTCCTGATCACAGCTCTTCACAACTTCATCCTCATGGCTCTTACTTCTACTACCACTTATGTAGCATGCACCCACATTCTACCTGCTGCAGAAAAAATCTTGCTTCCCTATCATTACGTGTATCTGATTTCATTTCCTCCCTCAATGGAGCAAATGGCATGAAAACTAATACTTCTAGTGCCTCTTTCAACCCCTATAATTTCTCTTCCCTGGAGGAAGAAAGACTTATCTGAATGGAATGTCCTCAAAAAAAAAAAAAAAAAAAAAAAAAACACTAGCCATGTGTCACAGGCTTTAAATATTACATTCCTGAGCCTTCTGAGGTTTACAAAGTCCAGTACAATGGTTCCCAAACTTTGCTGCATGTTAGAATCACATACGGCTCTTTAAAAAATAGTGATGCCTAACTCCCTCCCCCAGACATATGATTTAATTGGTACAGGGTGAAATCTGGCATTGGGACATTTTGTTTTAAGTTTATTTATTTTGTTTATGATAGCTTGTGCATGCACACAAAGAGAAAGGGAGAGAAGCCCCTCAACAGAGTCTTACCAAACTGTGAACTCCTTCCCCCAGCCCTCCAGCTCCTCAGGATCTTGAGGACATATGTCAATGTGTTTTTCAGGCCAACTCAAGATCCGAACCTGTGGGGAGCCGCCCACATCAAAATGGCTGCCATGACCTTCACTGCTTAAAATGGCCAGTGCGACCTTGACACAGACACCAGGAACGCAGACCTCCTGGTTCAGACAGAACTGACAGGTCCTCAATTAGGTCCGCTGTAAACCCCGCCTACCTCCCTCTGCCTTGTGTATATAAGAAAGTGCTCTAGCCCTCAATAAATGAGCGAAACCTTCATACCATCAAGAGCTGTGACACTGTGTGAGCTGTGATACTTCTTTCGCTCCCGTGTTGAGACGCTGCGCCGGTTCCAGACCTCCGCCCCCTCACTCGAGTTCCCTGCCTGATATGTTCCCGCAGGTCGGGACACGAACCCACTATAAGACACGTGGTTTTCAGCATTGCAGTTCAGCTTGCTACTAACTGTACAACCAGGCTAGGCCTGGGACTTTGAAAAGGTCCCCAGGTGATGACTGTGTGCAGCAAAATTTGGATAGAGATGGCACAGTCTGTTCACAGCTGAAAAAGGAAAGAGCCAGGATTGGGTGAAATTTGAGGGCTTATTTGTCACCTCCTCACCAAACCGTCTGTAGACTTCCAAAGACAGCATGGCTTTGGGATATGGTACCAATTGGACTGTTAGAAGTCTGGCTGGTGGATGTCGACAGCAGTGGGAGGGCCACTGAAACAGCTGTGAGACCCAGCAGTCGGGACATCATTTGGTACAAGGACAGAGACGAAAGGAAAACAGATGTCCTTTTCACAAGGACTCTAATCCTCTAGTTGACCTCAGGGTCACTGGTTTCTTCTCCTTAGGGTGCCGCATTTGTGGGTATAATACGGAAGCATCAGCAATCAACTTAATAGTACCAAGCCCTGAGCTCCCTAATGGACTAACCCATGTTTCTTTTACTTCTCAGCCAATTTTTTCCAGTTCAACTTTATTCTTTAAAAGTCCTCTAGTAAAAACAGTTTAGGGAATTTTTCCACTTAAGAATAAAACAAGTACAAATCCCCTCCCTCTTTTTTTAAAGCAAACTACATGTTTCCAAATAATAGCAGCTCCTTGTAAAATCTTATAACTTGTTAGTTCTGTGGGCTTAAACCTACTTCCTTTTAACTTAGAATTTCCAAAGAATTTTGTAACAGTAGACTCTATAAATGTGACAGGTTCTCTTTCAGACTTTGAAACCAGCATCCACTGTTTTAATATGGCCTCATTAACTTCCCACATTTTATAGGTCACCCTAAAGGGAAATAAATGATTATTACAACATAGTAGTTCAGACAAGACTAGCTTCCTAATAGAGATAACTTGGGTCTTCATCTTCATTTTTAGGTAAGAACTCTTTTCCTAATTTTACAAATAGGGAAGCTGAGGCTCATCCCTGTTGACTTGTCTTACAGTAATGCTGAGATTCAAATATAGAGTTGTCTGACTCCAAAGTTTATATGTGTGTTTGTGTGTGTGTGTGTGTGTGTGTTTGTCCAGTGTATCATGCCACCACCTTCTACATAACTTTGATCCAACAAGATTTTTTTCCTCACTAACTTAAAAAGCATACAGGATGTTAAATCACCTACCTTTCTCTCCCTAAGCTAAATCTTGTCTACATAAAATGACCTAGGACCTGACAATACCACATTGACTACTTGTTTGATAAGGGTTATGTGGATGAAAAAAGTTGGCAACTTTGGTTCATTTCTCAACCTGAAAGATTTCACATCACAGGTAATTCTAAAGTCTGGTTTTGGTGGTGTATTGATAGTTACATCAGTACAGTTTGCTTGTGGGTAAGAATTCCATTAGGTAAGAGAATGGATTGCGCAAACAACCACTTGGGAATATCACTTCATGTTCTAAATTGATCTGTTGTCATTAAGTACACTCTTCCTCCCTATCACAGGAAGCCATTTATAAACGTTATCAGAGGCAATGAACATTCTCGTATCCTCAACAGTTACTTACTACAAACCCTATCACCAGAAGAGCCTAGACTACCCAAAAGGTTCCTTAAATTGTGTCTGTTAGACTAATTTACTGTTTTTTATAAACCAGAAGAAAATAAGATTTAGAAAGTTTTCCTAGTATGAAGACAAAAACCAAAAACACAAAACAATTGCCACAAGAAATGCTGGAACGTCCCTTGACATCCATCTGTCTTAACCAACAGTCTTTTTTTTCCCTATTACTCTGTTTCTCATAATCTTAGAAATTTGTGGTTAGTTCTAACATAGTAAAAAAGAAATATTTGGCCTGGAAGCTCTTCTACACTCAGAGATCCAGGGCAAGGAAGGAATGAGATAGTAGGTAGGGGATAAAAGGAAAAGCTGCCACATGACAACTAAATGAATGGAGTCAGAACTTCCACACAAGGAAAGTAAAGTCATTCAGAGCCCATTTTTTTACAAACTATAGGGTCCTTCCCTTTGGACTTCCCAAAAATGTTAAGCACCTTCTATTCCACCTCCATGTAACTGTTGTAGTGATTATTTACAGTTTCATCCCTGCCTCTGGACATTGGCCTTTATCCCCAAATATAAGAGTTCTTCAAAAAGTTCATGGAAATGCATGGAAAAAACCATGCATGGATTTCAAAATATTTTTCATTGAAACAGATTTGTACTTG